CGTGGCGCGCGCGCGCGTGCGAGGGGCTGGAGGTGCGCGTGCGGGCGGGGGAGACGGAGTGCGTCACCGAACGCGTGCGCGAGGACGAGAGCTCGATCACGGGCTCTTGGTTCGTCGTGCGATCGTCCGAGAGCGAGGGGGGGGGGTGGCGCGGGCGATGGCCGACGTACGGGGACGAATACGACGATTACGCGTATTGGGACGGGCGAGAGGACGCGTTCGACGCGCGAGCGACGATGGAGTTCGGTGAGGAGCGCGAGGAGGTGTATAACGCGCTGGGGAAGTCGGAACACAGATTTGAATACGGATTGCGGAAGGCTGGGACGATTCGGACGTGTTTTAAGAACTCGGGGACGCGGGACGCGGGCGTGCGTTACAGCGCGTCCATCGGACATCGCTGGGATCACGAGAAAGCGACGGTGAAACACATCGATCCGACGTACGAGCGGTTGAATAACGTCGAGGCAGAGGTGAGCAAATTGATGCAAGAGGTGAGGTATCACAAGACACGCGCGACGCGGGCGATGCACACGGTGAAGTCGGTGAACGCGAGAGTGCTACGATGGTCCTTGATCGAGGCTGTAGTCATGGTGTGCGCGAGTATCTATCAATTTTATCACGTGCAGACGCTGTTCATGAATCGCGATCGCCGCGGAACGATGCGGGTGTGAGTGTGCGCACCGATTTACGAGGGCGTGTGAAAGAATAGATGAATACTATATACCGTGTGAAAGAGTGCTTCTAGAAACCAAACATGTCGAGTGCTTCGTCGATGGCGGCCTGTCCCTCAGCCGGCGCTTTCGATGCGACTCGAGAAGATGTCGATGCGCGAAAGAGCCGTGCGCTAGTAGACGACGACGTCACCTCGGAAGCCTCTTCCTCCGACGTCTCTTTGCCTTTGCACTTCTTCTCCACGAGCTTGACGCGAAACTTTCCGCGCATCCCACCGCCGAGCTTTCCGCTCGCCTGGAGCAACGCCCCGTGCTTCCAAAAGTGAGCCACTAAATGGTCCTCATCGATCTCTTGCATGACGTAGCTTCCTGAGAATTCGCGCAACGCCGATCGAACGCCCGAGACGCCCACCGCGATGTCCGTGAAAACGAGAGCCAGCTCCTCGTATTCGCCCTTGGAGAAGTGCTTGGTGTATCCATCGAAGTACTCCGTTTCCTCTGTCGGGCGTGTTTTAGACACCATAGAGTCCTTCGTCGGCGCCGCATCGAGGTTCTGAATGAGCATCGCGTCGCTCAGGCGAAGCGAAGGAAGCGTCCCGCCCTTGTTCCCACCAGACGTTCCGTAGAAGAAGTCTATGTGCCTGTTTGGGTCTCTTCCAAAGCTCGCAGACGTGATGCCGTACAGCTCGGCGACGACGTGACAGAGCTCTCGCATTTCGCGATTCATCGGCTCCATCGAGACGCGCCGCTTGCTCTTGCCCATGACTATGTCCTCGAGCGTCTTCTCCAAGCGCTTCACTAATTCCGGGTGCTTGCGCGCCAACTGAAGCTGCGCGCGCGTAAAAGCGCTCGCGCTAGACTCGGCAAACGTACTCGGACGCTCATCCGGCTTGGATATCCCGAATGCGTCGGCAAGTTTATTGCGGCGAGCCGTCGCTTCATCCGCGGGCTCGGAAGCTCGCTGCTCATTCGACGTCGACGCCGTGGTAGCCGCGTTTGGAGCGCTCGATCCGTTCTTTATATTTGAAGCCCTTTTCGAAAACATATTAGCGGCCGTATTCCGCGGGATGGCACGGAAGCGCTCAGCCGCGCTCTGTCGCGGCGCGAACGTCCCCCAGCTCGGCGTCGATCTAGAGGAGCCGGCGCCGAGCGTCGGAAACGACTCGCCGTGAGACTCATCCGCGACCGGCACTGGAGGTACCCAGTTACCACTTCCACCACCTCGAGAGGACGCCCCCGGGAGAGCAGGGAAGTCGTTTCCCCTATTTTCGATGTGACTCGGTCGACTCCAACCGCCCCAGGACGCGACGTTGATGTAATCCTGCGGTCGAGGTCCGCCGTTCGCGCCGTGACCGTCCGCCAGAGAGACATCTCGTAACATCGCCACATCGTCGTCCACGAGAGCGAATCGTCCCTCGGCCTGAATCTCCGTGAGCGCGTCCTGAACAGACGTCGATCGCCGCACGCCGCCGCCGTCCCGTCTCCTACCGCGCCCGCCCGCTCCGCCCGCCCGCTCCGCCGCCGCCCGCTCCCGAATCGACGTAAACATCGTCCTCGCTAACGTCACTCTCAACTCCTCGCGCTCGCGCGCCATATTCGCCCGCTGTTCCTCGCTCCGTCTCGCTGCCGTCGCCTCGGCGTCCAACTTCTCCCGCCGCGCCGCGTTAAACGCCTTCTCCACGCTAAACTTCCTCAATTTCCACTTCGCGAGGTATCCATCGAGCGCTCGACACTGCTCCCGACTCATTTCCGCCCGCGTCAACGGATTCTCAAAGCACTTACTCGACGTCACGTACTCCGCCAAGGTTTCGCCGTCGAACATGTACCCGCGTCTCGCGTTCTCCGCCCGCGTCCCCCCCTCTTCCGCCAGCATCTCGAACGGCGCGACCGCCATGCGATTAAACGGTTCCAGCGTGATCGGATCGCACGCGTCGTCGTCCAGCGCGCGCCACCACGCGTCGTCGTTCCTCTCCGTCCCCACCGTGCCGTCCGTGAGCGCCCGCGCGCGCGGTGCGGCGAATCGCCCCTCGCTCGCGTGCACGTTCGCCCCGTCGCCGCGGCGTCGGCGGACGCGTCCGTCGTCGCGCTCGCGCGACGCGGTCGGCATCGCCGTCGTCGCCCGGCGTCGACCGGCGTCGACGCGGCGTCGCGGACCCATCGTCGGTAGTCGTCTCAACGCGTCCGTCGCGGACCCTAAACGTCGGCACATCGTCGGCCCCGTCGCATTGACCACGGATCGCGACGGCATCGACGTCGACGCCGACGACGATGCCGCGCGGATGGACGAAGACGCGCGCGTACGACTCGCATCACTTTGACGCCGACGCGTGGTCGGTGGTGACGCCTCGAGCGGGTGACGTCATCATCGCCACCGCGTATAAATCTGGCACGACGTGGATGCAACAGATCGTGTCGCAACTCGTGTTCGAGGGCGCGGCCCCGGCGGCGTTGGGGGAGCTCTCGCCGTGGGTGGATCTGCGCGTGCCCCCGCGGGAGGTGAAGCGAGGGATGATCGAGGGATTGCCCTCGCCCCGGATCTTGAAGACGCATCTTCCGACGACGGGGTTGGAATACGACGAAAACGCGAAGTACATTTACGTCGCGCGGGACGGCCGCGACGCGTTCATGTCTTTGATGAACCACTATAAGAACGGTAATGAAGCGTTTTACGGCGCGCTGAACGGCCCTGGGTTAAAGGGCGCACCTTTGCCTACGTGGGAAGAGGCGTGCGAAGGCGAGGGCGACGAGAAACTTCGCGCGCTTTTTGACAAGTGGCTCAACACGCCGTGGGGCCAGCACCCGTGGGAAGAAGACGGGTGGCCTTTCTGGTCTCTGTTCTATAACATGAAGACGTGGTGGGACGCGCGCGAATCCAAGAACATCATCTTCGTGCATTTTTCGGATTTGAAGAAGGATTTGAAGGGTCAGATGCGACGCATTGCGAAGTTTTTGAACGCCCCGATCGATGAAAGCAAATTCGATGCGCAAGTCACAGCGTGCACGTTCGAGAGCATGAAGGGTAACGCCGCGAGCGTCGCGCCTCTCGGTGGCGCGCTGTGGAAGGGCGGTGCGGAGACGTTCATTAACAAAGGTACCAACGGCCGGTGGAGGAACGTTCTAACCAAGGAACAAGTCAAGCAGTACGAGCAGGTGGCTGAGAAACGGCTGGGTAAGGACTGCGCAAAGTGGCTCGCCAACGGCGGCGATATGAACGGCCGTGGGTGCGTGATCATGTGAAGATCAACCGCAAATTTATTCTTTCTTGCAAGTCAAATAAATTCACTATTTTCATATCTGATTTTTCCTATCTCTGCTATGGTACCGGTAACGACATGCTCTATGATGACGAGAGGCATCGGTACAACTAGGTCACAAAGGTGACACTTTGCAACTGAGTTCGCATCTCGCGTTCAATGCGTAGGTACGTTCGGATTTCATGTAAGTATGTTTTCGTCACTCCGTCGCCGCTTTCGCGATTGTCGCTCCGGCGACCGCCAACAATAAAACCGTCATTGCGGACTGTAAAAACTCCCTGCTCGCGATTTGCAAAATCCGCGCCCCAGCTCCAATACCTCCAGCGGCGCAGAATGCCATTAAAATCGTCAAACCGGGATCGGGTCGTAGACCTGCGCTCAACAACGACACGACGGCGGCGGAACTCAAAAACGCGGCTAAAACCGCGGAACACCCGATGATCGTCTTGCGGTTAATTGATGAACTTCGTTTCCATGTGAGAACAAACGGGATAAAGATCAGTGGCCCACCTGTCCCGGTCAACACCGAGCTTAAACCCACTAGTAAGCCAGTCACAGCGAGAACACCGAGCTCGTTATTCGTCGGTTCCCAGCGCTCGTGCGACGGGATAACTTGTGCGACGAAGTACCACTTTCTGAACCGGTCTACGAAAGATGTCGTCGATGACGACGGCGTTCTCCCGAGAGTCGTCGTCTGCTCCTCCGGCGCCTCTGCCGGCGAAACGACCTCGACCTCGACGATAGATTCGTGCGTGTGCGTACTATTTACCGTGTCTCCACTATCGTGTGTTCGCTTCCCGTTCTCGTTCGCCGTCTCGACGTTCGCGGTTCCACCCGCGCGCGTCTCGCCGTTCGCTCCGCCCGTAACCCTCGACGCGGCGCGCGCCTTCAGTTTGCGATCCACGATCTCCATCGCGTCTCGAAGTCCGGCCAACGCCGCGACGCCACCGACCAGGAACGTCATCACCCGCCGCGGGCTCGACTCCACGAGCACCCCGCCCGCCGCCGCGCCCACCGCCGCGGGCGCGCCGCACGCCAACGCCGCCCGCCAAGGAATCAGCCCCCGCACCCGACCCAGCACGCACAGCTTCAAAACACCCGCCGGGAGAAACGCGACGTACACGGACGCGATCGCCGGCCCCAACGCCACCCCCGCCACGAGCAACGCCGGGAGGACGACGACGCCGCCGATGCCCACCGCCCCGATGAGGAACGCCCCGACGCAGCACGCGACGACGACGAGCGTCACCTCCCCAGCCGTGAGCGCGGTGACCACGGTGTCGAACGCCATCGCGCGCGCGCCCGCGCGTGGACGCGTCCGAACCGGGGCGCGCGCGAGGTCGATCGCGCGACCGGACCTGACGACGTCACTCCGCGTCCGGGCTCGCGGCGGCGCCGCGCGCGCGCGCGTCGAGAGCGAACGCGCGAGCGATCGCGGGACGCCGCGCGCGGGACGCCGCGCCCGTCGTAGGGACGCGTGGACGGGACATTGTCGATCGGGATTCGAACGAGAATTGAAAATGTCGCGATCGACGCGATCGGGTGGAGGGACGGTGGACGTGAACGGCACGGCGTACACGACGAGCGAACGGGATGAGTTGAAGTCGTTGTTGGTGAGCGGAACGACGCCGAGGACGTCGAAGCGGTCGAGATTGGGCGAGCGAGCGAACGAACGAGACGCGGAGGCGGGCGAGGCGAAGGATACCAAAGTGCACGACGCGAACACGATGCGAGCGATGATGCTCGAGCGTCAACCGTCGCTCAAGTCGATCAAGACGAAGGTTGAGGCGGGGAATGGCGCGTCGGGCGCGCGGAGAAAGTCAGACGGCGCGAACGAAGGCGGGCCGATGGGTCGAGGCGTGAACTTCGATAAGGATGGGAACACGCCCAGAGACGCGTACGCGGCGGACGGCGAGATTCTTGGGTCGATCGATAGTGGGACGCCCAACTTTTTTCATGATCAAAACGCGCTCAAAGACGACGCCATGGGAGGTGGGCGACGCGTTCCGGCGTACGCGCTGGCGGCGATCGGCAATAGCCCAGGGTCTGCCGACGCGAAGTATTTCGACAACAACGAAATTGTGGATCTGTTGATGATAGTGCACGGTAGATCCGAAGCCAGAAACATGCATCGAGACACCGAGACCTCACTGGAGACGCCGACGCTCGCGCAGGTGAACATGCTCTGCACGGCCCCGCGAACGTGGGACCGGCGCGGGCAACGCCGAGAGACAAGTCCGGATATTTCGAGTGAAGGTGCGCTCGCGTTTGAATCCAAGCGCAGAGGCGCTGCTTCGGCTCAGAAGAACAAACGACAGAGGAATGAGACGAAGAATCGCCACGGGACGCCGGAAATACTTAGCAAGGAGGAAGAGGCGTTACGCAAGATGAAGGCGTTCTCCACGCGCGGGAGCAACTTGCGCAACGTCGACGATAGTGAACTGATGGATACTCTCATCGACGCGCACGGTGATCCATTGAGCAAGACGATGAAGACGCTCTGCCTGAAGCACAACGCGCGAGCGACGGCTCTGAACTACGAACACGAGGCGGCCTTAGCAAAGGCGAATGGAGAGAAAAAGGCTGCGGAAACCGACGGTGAGATTCACGCCAAGAGTAGAAGCTGGACAGACGAAGAGGACGCGTTCGTTCGCGCGCTGGTAAGGGAGCATGGACCAAAGAAATGGGCCGTCATCGCCGACCAACTCGTGGGCAAGACGCAAAAGCAAGTGTACGCTCGTTGGCGCGACTACCTCCAGCCCGGTCTCACGACGCGTCCGTGGGCTCCTTTCGAGGAAGAACACTTGATCAAGATCCAAGAGGTCATAGGGAATCAGTGGGCCGTCCTCGCCAGGCTCTTACCCGGTCGCTCCCCGAACGCAATCAAAAATAAGTTCCACGCCACGCGTCGAAAATTCGAGCGCGCCCCGGGAGACGGCGATCGCGACGACGACGAGGGGGTGGATGCGCATTAAACGTACACTTGTAAGCATATTATTGCATGTACCAACCACGTATGCACCAACAATCGACGCCTATCCATCGAATGCGTGTTGGCGTTTCGACGCTTTGAGGCGCGCCTCGGTTCCTGCCCCGCACTCAAGCCCCCGCACAACTCGACGTCCGAGCGCGCGATGCGCTCCTTCGCCTCCGCAACGACGCTTGCCGTGCTTCTATCCGCCACCGGTGCGTCTTGACCGCCACTATGCTCTCGATTCGCGCGCATGCGAGCGCGATCGTGCGCGATCGCGAAACCTCGAGTGTTTCACCTCGGGAGCATCTTTCGCGGGTGACTGACCCGACAGCGCACGCTCTCGCGCAACAGCCGCGCACGCCTCGGATGTTTCTTCGAAGCACCTTCTGACGGACATCCCGGCCGCGAACCCGGACGTGGAGGCCGTAAGCGTGTTCCCCGACTACGTCGATCCAGCATTTCCGGGCGGCGAGCGCGTCAAGGTGCTCCTGGGGCTTAGAAACGCCGGAAACGAAGAGGTCAAGGTGACCCACCTCGCTGGATCGCTGAACGTGCCGAGTAACTTTAACTTCTACGTCGCTAACTTCACGGTGGAGACGTTTGCGGACGCGGTGATCAAGCCGAGGGAGGAGGCGTCGTTTACGTACGAGTTCTCCGTAGATCCTCAGTTTGCTGGACACTCCTTACAGTTGGCGCTGACGGCGTTTTACGAGGAGACGGACGTTGCGTACGCAACGACGTACTTTAACTCCACCGTGCCGGTGTTGGATCCGAAGGTTTTGTTCGATCGCGAGCTGGCGGTGATCTACCTGACGCTCGCTAGCGTCGCGTTTTTTATTGTCGCGGCTATCATGAAAGCGGCGGGATTGGGGCACCTCGTTCCGTTTATCGGCGACGAGAAACCGCAAGGTGGGCAACAGAAGAAGTCGACGGTGAAAAAGGTCGCGCCGAAGCCCGCGCCGTCGGCGAGCGCGAGCGATTCGGAGCAATGGCTTGAGGGTACTGCTTTCGCTCGACAAAGCTCCAAGAAGGAAAAGAAGAAGAACAAGTGAGATGGGTGAAGACGTCTTGGATGAAAGATATAGGTTTGAAATCATCACATCGGCTAATAATGTGCCATTTTGAAATCTACTTCGTCACCTCATGCATCGCCTTGGCCAAGCGCTCGACGTTTCCGCTCGTCACGCCCGCCATGGAGATGCGTCCGTTGCGCGTCATGTAAATGTGATGGTCGGTTCGCAGCTTGTCCACTTGCTCCGGCGCCATCCCGCTGTAGCAAAACATACCGATTTGATCGGTGACGTGTTGCCAAGGCAGCTTGGATCCGGAGTCTTCGAGATGCTTGCGAAGGAGCGTTCGCATGGTGATGATGCGGTCAGCCATCTCCTTCACCTCCACGTACCACTGCGCCTTGAGCGCAGGATCGCCGAGGATCGTCGACGCGATGAGTGCACCGTGCATTGGCGGGTTCGAGTACATCGCTCTAGCGATGACCTTGAGCTGTGACTCAACGCGGACGGCCTCAGCCTTGTCCTCGCACATGACGCTCACGGTACCGATGCGCTGACCGTACAAGCCCATGTTCTTCGCAAAGGACTGCGCGAGGGCGAACTTGTGACCATCCTCAGCGAAGATGCGAATCGACTGCGCGTCTCGCACGCAGTCGCCGGACGCAAAACCTTGGTAGGCCATGTCGAAGAACGCGAAGTGGTTTTTTGCCTTCATAGCCTTGGAAATTTCGCGCCACTGCTCCGCCGACGGATCGACGCCGGTCGGGTTGTGCGCGCACGCGTGCAGGAGGAACATGCTCCCATTCGGCGCGTTGTTGATGTCTTCCATCATGCCCTCGAAATCAAGACCACGCGTGGATTCCTTGTAGTAACGGTACGTGGTTTGCTCGCACCCGGCGTCGCGCCAAATGTTGTGGTGGTTGCTCCACGTCGGGACACTGATGTAAACCGTGCATCCCGGCATGAATCGCTTTTGAAACTCCGCGAGAAGACGACAAGAACCGGTACCGGAGAGCGATTGCACCGCGGCGATGGACCCGCTCTTCACGGCCTCAGAATCTTCACCGTACGCCAGATCGAGCGAGTGCTTGATGAAATCCTTGAAGCCGTTCGTCGGCAGGTACTCCATATTAAAGTTCCCCGCGATTCGCTTCTCCGCCTCGCGAACGCACTTCAGCACCTGAGGCTTACCATTATCATCCCGATACGCACCCTATCGGCGTCCAATGACGCAAAGTCGCTCGTCAGTCTCTCATCCTTTGAATCGTTCGCCGTCGCGCGCCTCCGCCTTCGCGTCCTCGCCCCACCCCTCCCTCCGCGCGTCGCGTCGCTCGCGACACGCACCACCCCGAGATTCATCTTGTCGCTCGACGTATCCGCCAAGAATAACTCGCTGATCCCCAGGATCGGGTCCTTCGGCGCCTCCGGGACGTCGGCGAACCGCGCCATCGCTCGCGCCGTCGTCGATCGACCGCCGTGTCCTCTTTGCCCTCTTCGCGCGCTCTGTTCAAACGCTCGCGCCGCGCGATCGACGCCGACGACGACTCGACGTAACCTCCCGCACGTTCGCATGCGCGGTCGACGTCGCGCGCGCGTTCGGGCGTCGTCTGCGGTCGAGCGCGGGGCGAGGACGCGGCGCGGGACGACCCTCGAGGCCTCGGGTGTTTCGTAGAGGTTTTTGTGCTTTTTCGTTCTGTTCAGTATTCGACGCCTCTCGGATGGGACGACGGTTCGAGTCGCGAGACGTCGCACGTCACGACGCGGTGGACGATGGCGACGACGCAGACGACGCGCAGGGAGGTGCTCACGCGACAGCGCTCGAGCGCGATGGTGACGAACGTTTTACGCGTGGCGTTGTACACGGTGACGTATTGCCGAGGTACGCGAACACGTATCTCTCGGATGGAGCGTGGGGGCGATGCGGCAAAGTGATGGGTGATTGACGACGGCGACGACGACGACGAGTCGCTCGCAGGAATATTCGACGCGGATACACACTTTAAGGAGTGTAAACACATGAACATGTCGATGCAGAAGCTGGTGCCGGCGAGCAGGGAGGCGAAGCGGATTTTGGATATGTTGGAACACGGTGCGCGCGATCGATCGGGCGGCGATAGCGTTCAAACGGAGGGAGACTGACGCGCGATGGCGGCCGTTCGCAGGCGTTTCGGATGCACTGGAGAAGGGATACTTACGATCAGTGATGTTCGTCGTGACGCGTCCGAAGGGTGGCGGGTCGACGGAGGTGGAGACCGTGGAAGAGTATCGATTCAGCGTGAAGCATGGTGACCGCGGAGAAGTCGCCTTGGACGAGGTGCAGCACGTCGGACCGGGAGGAGGCGTGAGCGTCGGACTGAGCGAACACACCAGCAAAACGACGCGCATGGAGCGGCTGAGTGATTTGGATCACATAAAAAAGGCGGCGGTATCGATGACACGATGCTTGCTCTCGCTCGTCAAAACGCTTGAGGCTGTGCCCGACGGGTGCACATTTTCGATCAATCTCACGTACGTCAACGGTACGCCGCCAGATTACGAGCCGCCGTTTTTCCGAGCGGCGTGTACTTCGGGCGAATCGGATTGGCGCAAAAATCCGTTCAGCATGAGCGTGGGTAAGGTGGAGACTGAGTATCACGGATTGTCTTTACGCGTGCGATCGGTTCTCGATCCAGCGCTGGACACGGACAGCGGAGGCGCTAAAAGTAATCCAGGATCCTCACAAACGTCTTCCTTGCTGGATCAAACTCCATCCACGCCAATTGTGAAGAGTGATGAAATCGCGAAAGCGCCGTTGGTATCTCCTGAGCTCGTCGTCAGCTTGTCCCAACCTCGAATCCCAAACGCTGCCTTGGACAGTCCGATCGTCGACGAAGATATCGATTTACGAGTACTCGAATGGATACGCAAGCAGCGAGTGGGCGCGTACGTCGATGCCGTTGCGTGCTCGAAGGTGTTCCGACGATACCCTTTCAAGGCGATCGATGCGGCGTTCGGACGGCTACTTTCATATGGAAGCATTGCCAAGGATGGAAAACGCGGTTTCTCTGTGGCGCAGGCGGGCGGTAAGCAAGCGCAACCGAGCGCACCGATCAACGACATGCGAAAACGTTTACGCTCATCGAAGAAGAAGTGATTTATTGAGCGGATGACAGAATTATAGAAACGCAACGAGTAAACTTCATGTGTAGAATGAAAAGAATGAAAAGCTAAAATGAGTGGCGAGCTTAGAGGTATTTCACAAACGAAGGAATCGAGCTCGTGATTTGGCGGAGGATGCTGACGACGTACATCACCTTACCGTGCATCGTCATGTCTGTCATCGTCTTGAATCGAATACCGTTATCCATTATTTTGACGTCGTAAGCACCGTTTGTGCCTTCGACGAGGAGTTCCTTTACCATGAGCGAAGCATCCGTGATCAAATCAATGATTGGAGGATCCTTTGGATAGTCCAACAGGATCGCCTTGATCCCGAGATCACCCGCGAGTATTTGCATTTCTCTGGCAAACAAGCACGAAAGACTGAACTCATCTGGCTCACCAAAGGTATCCTGCAATAGCTTCAACATTGCGTGTATGTGTTCGTGCACCGTGATCGAATCGATCGCCGCCTTGACTTCATCATTCGCCTGCGTGGTCGCGATGTAGAACGGGGTGATGCCGAACTCATATCCTGCAGTCTCCACGCGCACGTCACTTGCCGCTATGGTTTTGATCCGTAGATTGTCGATACGCTGCAGCTGCTTGTATAAGAGCTCCAAGTAAAGATCGGCTCCGACATTATCGACGTCGCCGCTTTGCTTTTCGCCAAACATGGTACCGACACCCCGAATACCCATGTCTCTCTCGGACAGACGAAAACCCTCTCCGAGCCCGCAGCACTCCTCAAGAGCGGCCAGGCGCTCTTGCGCTGCTGGTGTGAGCTCGCTCTCATCAGATGAGTAAAACATGTACGCATACGCTTGACGACCGGCGCGGCCGACGCGGCCACGGAGCTGATACAGCGTCGCCAAACCAAAGAACTGGACGTTCTCGATGATGATCGTGTTGCAGTTCGGAATGTCCAAGCCAGATTCGACGATGGTCGTAGCAATGAGGACGTCCGCGGTGCCGCTTGAGAACGCTTCCATGGCGTCATCAATCTGGTCGCCATCCATTTGTCCGTGGCACGTCATGATTCGCAGCTCGGGGAACAGTCGATTCAACCGTTCGCTTGCCTCCTTCATCATACTGACTCTCGGAACGATGTAGTATACTTGACCGTTTCTGTTGAGTTCGTGCTCGATTGCTCTGGTGATGTCGGCGTCGTTTTGTGGTGCCAAGATGGTGTTTATCGGTCGACGCTCCGGCGGCGGAGTTTGCACGAGCGATGCGTCGCGGAAGCCAGACATAGCCATGTGCAACGTCCGCGGAATTGGCGTCGCTGAAAGCGTGAGAACGTCCACCTCGGCTTTCAGTGCGCTGATTTGATCCTTGTGCTTAACGCCGAATCTTTGTTCCTCATCAATGACGAGCAGCTTGAGTTTCCTGTAATACTCCGAGTCCAAATTTACGAGTTTGTGCGTGCCAACGATGATCTGCACCGTTCCTTCCTTGAACTTCTCGAAAATTTCTGTATGCCTAGATTTGACGACGTGTCTGGTGACGAGTTCGACGTTGATGCCGAGAGGGCGGAAACGTGCGGCGAGATTTGCCGCGTGCTGCTTTGCCAGCACCGTTGTCGGAGCCATCATGAAAACTCCCCCTCCAGAGCTTGCGACGTGAAAGATCGCACGCATCGCCACCTCCGTCTTCCCAAAACCGACGTCGCCTATGACTAAGCGGTCCATCGGGGCATCACGGGACAAATCTATGGTGATATCCTCCACGGCTCGCACTTGATCCGGGGTGAGCTTGTATGGAAACGACTTATCAAACGCCTCGACGCTTTCCGCGGGAGGAAGTTCATAAGGGTTTCGAATCGTTTGTAATCGTTGTAAGTAGATAACCATCTGGTTCACGACCAATCGCCGGATCGTTGCCTCGGTTTTCTTCTCTCTCAAGTCCCACGTCGTGCTGTCTTTCAGTTTGTTCAGCTTGGGCGGCTTCACCAGCGCTCCTGGTGAGCAGAACCGATACAACAAGCGACGAGAGGCCTCTGGGCTAATCTTAGCCGTGGCGTCTTGGTACTTCAAGAACAGAAACGGCTTGTTCTTGGTATCACCGTTCGGTTGATCCACGGGGAGAACCTTCAGACCGAGGTACTGGCCGATGCCGTACTTGCGATGCACCACAAACTCCCCGGCGACGAGTTTGAACGGATCGATAGAATTACTGACGCCAAACTCAGACTCGGAATATCCCTCGCGTAAACGCTTATTTTGTTCCTCGACCTCGGCCGCGCTTTCTAACATTTCCTCCACGTACTCTTCGCTATCGGCGCCGAACGAGGCGTCGGAGTACTCATCCTTCACCGCGCCGCCGTCGTTGAACCTGTCCCGCACCATTCCCATCCCGCGCTCTCTCCGTTCTTTGAACAACCTCTTCAGACGCTCGCCGGCGGATTCACCGCCATCCTTCGTCGACGTCTCTTCCCTCAGCGCCGTCTCGATGAGTTCATCCGCCGTCCCGACAACGCTCGAGCTCGCAAACAACTTTGACTGCGCCACTAAAAACCGCTCCAACGCCGCCGCCTCGCGCTCTCTTCGATCTGCGCTGATCACCTGCCTCGATTTCGCCCCCTCTTTCACTGCGGCCGAGAGCTTTCGGACCTTTCGTACTTTCGGCGCGCTCGCCTTTGCTTCGCTACCGCTCGCGCTCGCCTTCGCCCCGTCCCCGTCTCCGCGCGGCACCCTACGAGCGACCCTACGCGGGGACGGCGACGATGACGACGCGCCGTCCGCGCCGTCGCTCGATGAGGTCACCGCGCGCGCGACGCGCGGCGACGCCCGTGCGTGAGCGCGAGCGAGCTTCGGCGGCGCGAGTGAATTCGCCAACGACGCGCGCGCGCGCGGCGCTGCGACACCGCGCGCGGCGGTCGATGCGGACATGGTGGTGACCACGACGCGTGGTCGTGCACGTCAGACGCGCGACGCGTCGGCGTCGGCGTGTGGAGACGAGAGCGCGCGCGGGCGGCGGAGGGACGACGGCGACACACTGTGTGTCACACACGAGGCGGTTCTCATCGCCTTGAGGGTCGAAAGCGTGGGTTTAAATCGATGTCGTAATAGTCATCATTTCAAATCTCGACTCGTCAGCGACGTCGCTCGAGTGTTCGCCTGGAATCTTCTCGTGAGGCTCACCAACCGGCTCCGCTGAACGAGCTCGAGCTCCCCCAGAGGTTGGAGGCCGGTTGCGACTGTCCCTGCTGTTGGTAGCCCGCGCCGTCTTGCTGTTGCGAAACGGCCGGCGAAAAGAGCGAGTAGCCCAGACCAACCGAGAACGGAGAGTTGCCCCCGAGAGCGTCGTACGTTCCAAGCTTGCTATAGTCTTCGACGAGACCTTCCATACCCATTCCGCTCATATCCCACTCCGACCCAAGCTGGGAGCTCCCGTCCGCTCCAGCACCGTTTTGCACGACTACACCGTTCGTAGGTGATTGCGCGTGCCCGCCCCAAAAGTTCGCATGCGGTGCCGCTTTCTCTGGTTGCGCAAGCCCGAAGCCGGGTTGCCCAAAACCAAAGCCTGGCGTCGCCTGCGGTCGCTGGTTCGCCTCTGGCGGCGGACCCGCCGGCACAGGTGGAACGAAGCTCTCGTTCGCAACTGGAACCGCGTTGGTCTCTAACGGAGTCCCAGTCGCACCAGATCCGAACGCGAACTCGGGCTTGGGGTATTGTTTCGGCGCCGACCTGCTGCCCAAGCTAGAACCGTTGGCGCCCTGACCTGCCCTATCTTCGGTGGCGTAATCACCAGCTACCATCGAACCGGTACCGAATTGGTACGAAGGCTTCGGAAGGCCATTCGCGTCACCCATCACCGGCACCGCGGGCACTCCCGCCGTGACGCCGCCGTTGGGGGCTGGAAACCGAGGCGCGGGCACGGAGGCCCCGCTCGCGGTGAGCGCCGGATGCTTTTCCACCGCCGGCGGCGGCGGTGAAGCCGTGGGCACGCCCGCCGTCGCGACGTTATCCCCGCTCGGCATCTTCTTTCCCACGAGCGCAGCCGCGAACGAACCCTCCGCCGCGCCAACAACCCCAGCCTTGGCCGCCGAGGCGTAGTCTATAGCTCCACTTCGCTGCACGATCGGCGCCGGAGCCGGCGCGGGCTCCGCCTTGACCATCGGTCGCAATGCCGCGCTCAAAGCGCCCGCTATCGGCAACGGCTTTGGAATGTTTACCGTCCCCACCCTCCCGTTCGTCGGCGAAGACGTCGGCGACCCGCTCGCCGACGCGATCTTCGCGAACGCCGCCACCGCCGCCACGTCGTGAGAGAACCGACACTGATCTCCCCGTTTACACGTCCCCTTCGCGTGATCGAAGCACACTCCGGCGGCAACGCGATGCGGCGACCCAGTTCGCCCACCGCTGGCGTTCACGTTCCCTCCCGGAGTCCCATCGTGCGCGAATCGACAACTCTCCCCGCGCGCGCACGACCCTCGGCTCCAATCAAAGCACTGATCGCTCCTCTCGCTCCCACTGAGCGACCCTTGACGCGCGAGCGCGCCGGTGTGTTTCAGCGATTCCAACGCGCGCTTCGCGCGCTCGCGCTGCGCCCGCACGGCGTCCGGAGACGTCGCCGCGCCCATCGTTCACCGCCGGCGCGATCTCTCGTCCGCGCGTTTTTTCCACCGTCTCCCGCCGCCGCGCGTTCGCTCGCCGCGCGCGCGCGCTCGAGCGCGACCGCTCGGCGTTCCGGACGCGTCGCGCCCGTCCCTCGTCGCTCGCGTCGCGCGCTGGCGCCGATGCGCGCGCGCGCGAAGCGCGGTCTCCGGATGGACGCGAGTCACATGTTCTTGAGTCATTGACTCGACGATACGGCGTTGGGTCATGACTCGTGCGTGATGCGACTCGAACGCGCGCGGGGGCGACATCGACCGCGAGAGACTCGCGCGCGGTCGCTCGCCGCGCGCGCGCGCGGCGGCGCGTCCGGGACGTCGCGACGGCGGCGCGCGCGCGCGAATCGGGGGGCGTGAAGACGAAAATCACATTTACCGGTACATTCACATTTACATTCACCATCACGTTCAAATTCGAGAAACAACACCATCGAGCGTTCGACGTCGACGGCGGCTTGGAGGAGGCGTGGAGACGATGGAGGGCGAGGCGGTGATGATGGCGAGCGATGGGCGCGGTGGAGGACGCCGTGGGGGGGGATGGGATGGGATGTCACGCGACGGGGCGGCGGTCGCGCGGCGGCGCGACGCGGCGGCGGCGGGAGAGAGAGCGGCGCTCGTGGAGCGACTCGCGCGCGTGGGAGAGAACGGTGGACAGACGAGGGAAATGGGCGCGGGCGTTCGAGCGGCGAGCGCGCGGGGGGGGTATTGGCTCGCGGGGAGCTCGACGGCGATGACGACGACGCGGTCGCCGAGCGGGGTGTTTGATTTTTCAGACGAAGATGAAGGTTTTTCAGACGCTCCGTACGTCCTATCGAGCAGCGCGGGGCGATTGTGGCGATTGCGGCGCATTTCGGATGATGGCGCCGAGACGCCGGTGCGGAAGGTGATGTCGGGAGAGGGTGAGGAGCGCGCGCTGGCTTCACTGTTTGAAAAGGTTGAAATATCTCCCGGCGGGCCGCTTGAGTTCTCCGCGTCGCCGCCCTCGACGTCGAGATCGCCGCGCGTGAGAGTCTCATCGCCGTCAAAGTGGGCGAGAGATTCGGCGTACATCGATGATTTGCTCCGACGCGCTCGCGCACATCGATCGAGCCGCTCGACGAGCTCGAGTGAGAGCGCTCCGGCGGAGTGGGAGAGCCAGCTCTCGGATGCCGCTTCGCGGAGCGACGACGCGGAGTGCGCGACACCTCGCGCGCACGAGCGCGCGTCGCCGGTGGACGTCACATCTCTCATCACACCACCGTTGAAGATGTCGACTCGACCGAAGACGCCCGCGGCGCCCCTTCGTCACCAGCACCGAAGACGCGACTCGCCGACTCCGACTGGAGTCGCGACGACTCCGCGCGAGGCAGCCGTCGAGCCGAGAAGAGACCTCACCAACCCGCGCGAACTCTTCTGATCGCCCCGGCTCTTTCATAACGCATGTAAAATGTATACCAGTACCTCTCTATCGCTTTGGCCGTCGTCGACGCGTCGTGATTCGTCCCTTCTCGCCGTCCGCGTCTCGCCTCGCTTCCTAGGTCTTGCTCCACCGCCGGTGCCCTTTGCATCCCTCAGTTCGCGCCGCTTCACGTCATGTCCCGCGCGCTCGTCGACGCGCGATGCGTGCGCGCACATCGCGCGTCGCGTGTCCGCTTCAACGACCGCGCCGCGCGCTCACGAGCGAGCGAACCGCGTTCGAACGCGTCACGAATGTTTTCAAAACACAAACCGTTCGACGCCGCATCGCTCACGACGCCGCGCTCGATCGTGAGCGCGGCCGGAGACTGGGGATGCCCCGAACAAGGATGCCCGGTGGACGTTCTGAGAACGAAGCGGTTGATAACGGCGATCAAGACGCCGTACTTGACGAGCGGGAAGGTTGATTTGTACGCGTACGACGCGCTCGTCGAGGCGCAGATCGAGGGCGGCGTCGAGGGTTTGATCGTCGGTGGGACGACGGGGGAGGGACAGTTGATGTCGTGGGATGAACATGTGATGCTGATCGCACACACGGCGCAGAAATATGGAGATCGGGTGCTGGTGATCGGGAACACCGGGAGTAACTCGACGCGCGAGGCGGTGCACGCGACGAGCCAAGGGTTCGCGGTCGGGATGGACGCGAGCTTACAGATCAATCCGTACTACGGGAAGACGTCGAGAAGAGGGCTGATCGAACACTTTGGGGCGGTGATGGACCTCGGACCGGCGATCGTGTACAATGTACCGGCGAGAACGAGTCAGGACATAGCTCCGGAGGTGATGTTCGAGCTGGCGAAGCACAAGAACTTCGCCGGGGTGAAGGAATGCGAAGGGAACGTGCGAATCAAGGGATACACCGACAAGGGCGTGACATGCTGGACCGGAAACGATGACGAGGTTCACGAGGCGCGCTACGAGGCTGGTGCGGTCGGGGTGATCTCCGTCACGTCGAATCTCGTTCCGGAGCTCATGCGCGAGCTCTTGTTCGACGGCCCGAACCCCGAGCTTCGCGATCGACTCCTCCCGCTCATGGGATGGCTCTTCCGCGAACCGAATCCCATCGGCGTCAACACCGCCACCGCCATGCTTGGCGTCGCCAAGCCCGTGTTCCGCCTTCCCTACGTCCCGTACGCCGCCGACCTCAGAGCGGAGGGCGCCGCGCTCCTTCGCGACGTCGGCGTCGCGAACGCCCAGCCGCTCGCCGACGACGATTTCACCCTCCTTCGCGAGTGGTAGCGCGATCACGAATCGATCGACTAGATGTAGAGCGAACGAACGACGAGATCACGCCCGCGCGTCCGCCCGCGCGTCTCGTCCGCGTCGCCCGCGCGTCCACGCTGTCCACGCTGGATACATCGACGAGTCATCACTCACGAACACCCCCTCGAAACACCCGCGTCTAGGGCTCGACACCCGATCCCGCGCGCCCCCCACTCGCCCTCGCGCGCGTCCCCCGTCGCCGCGCCCGCACGCGTCGTTCGCGCGCGCGATCGACGTCGCACCATGCTCTCCACGCACGTCGCCGTTCGCGCCCCGCGCGCGCGCGCGCACGCGACGCGTGGACGCGTGCACGCCCGCGTCCCGGCGGCGCGACGCCCGCGCGCGGTGGTTACCCGGGCGAGCGACGCGACGGACGACGAGATCGAGTTCCTGGAGAAGGCGCTCAAGCTGGCGAAGAGTCGTAAGGGCGCGAGCGGTGGCGGCGCGAGCGCGAGCGCGGGCGCGGGGTCGTACAACGGCGCGTCGTTCAACGTGAAGACGTTCAACGCGATCAGCCCGGTGGGCTTGGGGAAGTTCCCGCCGGGAAAGTACGCGGTGAGCGGAGACGACGGTGCGTTGCCGGGTGATCCGATGGCGATCATGCTGCGAAGTCATAAGCTGCAGGTGAGCGAGGTTGGACCGACGGTGAGAGGCATCGTGCGATGCGGCGCCGGGACGAATAACATTCCGACCAAGGAGATGAGCGAACGGGGAATCCCGGTGTTTAACACCCCCGGGGCCAACGCGAACGCGGTGAAAGAGTTGGTCGTGTGCTCTTTGCTCTTAGCGAGCCGCGGGATCCTCGAGGGTAACAGACACGTGAACGAGGTGATCAACGTCGAAGAAAACGGCGACTACGCGAAGATTAGCTCTCGCATCGAAAAGGACAAGGCCATGTTCGGTGGCATGGAGATCGAGGGCAAGACGCTCGGTGTGATTGGTCTGGGTGCGATCGGTTCTCGGTGCGTGATTAGAACGCTGACGTCGATTCTACGCGGCGACGCGCGCGTCTCGAGAAACCGCGTCTCGCTTCGCTCGGAGCGCTTTCAAAGGAATGATGATTCTCAATTAGATGTTTGACGACGCACTGTTGACGGTCATCGTCGGCGCGCGTCGCTGATACCACAAAATTGAGGCATATCCATTCTTAAACTGACCTTTGAGTGGCTGACTTGGCTCGGTTGAATGCCGAGTGGACGTTACCTATGACCATGTTTTGCGACGCGATTTACTGACCAATTTCCGCGCGTTTCCCGCCAACCGACAGTGTTGTCAATGCCGCGCTCGGTCTTGGCATGAAGGTCGTCGGTTACGACCCAGTGCTCTCGCTCGAGGCCGCCTGGCGTTTGCCGGGCGACAAGATGTCGCGGGCGGATGACTTGGACGAACTTTTCGAGAAGTCCGACTACATCACCATCCACGTTCCGTACATCAAGGGTGTCACCCACCACTTGATCGACGCGCGTGCGCTCTCAAAGTGCAAGCCGGGCGTTCACTTACTCAACTTTGCCCGCGGTGAAATTATTGACGGCTCTGCCGTGCGTGCGGCTTACGACTCCGGTAAGCTCACCGGTAAGTATGTGTCCGATTTTTCCGATCCAGATCTCATGGGCCACCCGCGTCACATCGTGCTCCCGCACTTGGGCGCATCCACGGAGGAGGCTGAGGAGAACTCCGCCGCCATGGCGGCTGAAACCATGATGGACTTCCTGGAAACCGGGACCATCCGTAACTCCGTCAACTTCCCGACGACCATTTTGCCGCCGCACAAGAACTCTTCCGGCGCGCGTTTGTGCATCGTGAACAAGAATGAGGCCGGTGCGCTCGGTGAAATCACTACTTTCCTCGGTACGCAGGGGTGCAACATCCTCCAACAAATCAACACCTCCCGCGACGGCATCGCGTACACGGTGATCGATTTAGAGAAAATTCCGGCGGATCCGGCCGCCTTACAAGACGCTCTTGCCAAGACGTGCCCGATGGTCGTTTCCTCTCGATTCATCGGCTCCGTTTTCAACGACGAGCTCGGCTCCCCGGGCACGTACTTCTGGGTTCGCGACGCCACCGGCAGCGCGTAAAGCCTCAACTGGAAACCCTCGTCCGTTCGCTTGGGCGAACCGTTTTCCCCGCGTCGAGCGCATTAATATCACCCGTTTGTTGATTAGAGATCCCTCGATCACGCTCACGGCGATGTCCTTTAGCCCATAAACACATGACACGTATTCGACGGAAAGATTCGCTTCAAGTGCAACTGAATTACAACACGTCTCTCACTCATCTACAGTATCACTCGAACGTCGCTCGCGGGTAAAACGCACGTTTGGAGCCGTTCTTACTTGTTTACATACATTACACGTCCTCCTTTACCTTGCCGTTTTCTCCATCAGGGGCGCTTCCCTGTTTACGCACCCGCCGATACTTGGACGTTGGCGTGTGTTTAAGGGGCGCGCCGCCCGGACCGGTGACGTTCGCCGCCTTCATCCGTCCCTCGACCTCTTCCACTTCAAACTCGACCTCATCTCCCTATTTACGCGCCCGCATCGCTCGTCAGTCTCGTTTTGCAGCGCGCCCAGAGAAAAATGATTTTCCGAAATTCTCTTCCGGCACCCCGAGCCCGCGCCGCTTCGAGTGCGCCGCTTCGTGTCGCACCTCCCAACAGCTCCTGAAACCATCCATCGTGAGCGCGCTCTGATGCACGAAGACGTCTTCCGAGCCATCACTGGGTGTGATGTACCCGAACCCACGCGTACAATTGAACCATTTCACCTGCGCCTCCCCGCGCGTCGTCGTCGTCAGTCATCCGTTCCGATCGCCCACATCGCGAACGTGGCGCGTCTCGGACGGGCCGCGCGTCCTCCATCGACCCCTCGCTCGGCCATCGGCGACGGAAAAATCCACCATCGATCGAACGCGGCGGCGTCCCTCGCCCGCGCCGCGTCGCCCATCGCGCGCGCCCAATCTCTCTCGCGCGCGCCCCCGTCGCCCGCGCGCGCGCGTCGTCTCCCATCCACGTCCGATGCGTTCGCCCGCGCGCGTCGCCCGCGAACTCGGGCGTCGCGACGCGTCGCCCATAAATTCCCTCGCGCGTCACGATCGCGCGACGCACCGTCCCGCTCGCGCGCGCGCGCGCGTTGGACATCGCCCGTCGTCGTCCGCGCGCGCGTGTCGCGTCCGCCGCGCGCGCGGCGCCCGTGGGTGTCGGGACGTCGTCGTACTGTAGACGCCTC